AGGTATTATACAAAGCCCTAAGGAACAAATAGCAAGCACAGCAGACACAGATAAGTCTCTTTCCTCATAGAGCTTTCTGTTTAATAAGGAAGCCAGCATTAAATAAAAACAATCATGCCAACAAACATAAAATAATACCAATGACAGGTAGTACAAAAGACATGCACAGTGCTATTAGAGCCTAGTCAAACAAGGACCTGATCAGGGACTTCTAGAAAAGCATTTCTGGGAAAATGATGCTTGAGCTGATACATAAAAATGAATAGAGGTTAACTAAGTAAAGATGGTATAGTAGAGCATTTCAGGCGAAGGGAAGAACATTGGTGAAGCCCCTCCAGCAGAAGGAAGCATGGCAAATACCAGAAACTGAAAGACTACTGGTATAGTGAAGAAGAAAAGGCAGGAAAAAATCTGAAATGGGTTGGGAATGGAGAGATTGGTCATGAATGGGAATTTTCCATTATGGAGTTATGACCTCCTCAAAGAAAGTATAATTTTACATTTTTAAAAAAATTTTTTTAGGCGAGGCAAGCCTTAGTTGACCTCACAGACTGCAAGGACCTTGTCAGCTTACAATCTCTTATTTTTTATTTTTTATGCCTATAGTACTTGGTCTTCCTAGGTGATCTCCCATCCAAGTACTAACCAGGCCCGACCCTGCTTCGATTCCGAGATCAGACGGGATTGGGCTTGTTCAGGGTGGCATGGCCATAGATGAAAATGTAATTTTAATCAGGGGCCACATGATCAGTTTTGTGTATTGAAAAGACACTTTGGCTATATTTGGGAGTACAGAACAGAAAAAGAACAGATCGGACATAGGTAAGTAAAATAGTAGATTCCTGTAATAATCTACAGGAGACAGGAGTTGGCTTGAATTAGGATAATGAAAAGGGGTATAGAAATTTTATTATTGGAGGGCACTGGGTAGGAAAAACTGGCAAGGCTTGGTAATGGGTTGAATATAATGATAAGGGAGAAGGATATGCCAAGGATAACCTCTGGCTTGCATAGCTAGATGAATTACTGAAATGTTTTTGATGGAGTTTGAAGGGAAAAGACCAGAGAAATGGGGTGCAGGGTAATCGAGATCACAAGTTCAATTTTGAATATGTTGAGTTTAAGATGTTTTTCAGACACCCAAGAGAAATATTTATCCAGATCCAGGACAAGAATGTTAGAATTGTGTTCATTATCTGAGAGAGAATGAATTATACATCATACTAGTTTACAAAACTGAGCAGTGACTCATTCTTCTCATTTTGCAGTGGTAGATAACTGGTCAATTTTCACTAGAATTTTGAGGATGGAAAACAGGAACAGGATTACATATCAAACACTCTGCAGGATTAAAGTGTAAATAAAGGGGAATTCCTTTTCATTTAAACAATTAGGCAAAAATTCCAACATAATTGAAAAATAAATTAACAACTTCTGGTTCCAGATTAAATAGCCAGGGGAAGGATGGGGTGGGGTCGGAGCTCCTTTTCTAAAATGCTTAGAAATTCTGGATAAAATATAACACATTCTCTTAACACTACAGAGGAGCATAAAAGAAAATAAAGGAAATCTCCAGGGGCCAAAACAAAGTAGCTGGGGAAACCAGAGGATAAGCAAAGTTCCAGGGCCTGAGGATGTTTGCCCAACTTGGTAACCAGACTCCGGCTGGGGCAGAGGACAGGGTCCGAAGCCAGCACAAGTTGGGGAGTTACAACTAGTACCCCATAAAATCTTGGCCCTCAAAGATTTGAAGAGCAGACTGAGGAAAGAGCAGACTCAATTGAAGAGCAGACTCAGGAAAGCCTTCCCATGAAAGAGAAGAAACAAAAAAGGGCTTATGTTTCTTTCAGTCTTGACTCTGTTAGGAATCAATTATTTCCTAAATTCATAAAGGCCTGAGATTCAAATACATACAACTTTCATGTTTTTAGAAAATACCACCTTGAGATTGTACCAAGCTGATTGTGCCACAGGACACCTTGCAAATGCAAAGTGAAATACTTAACCCAGCATTCAGAAGCAACACAACACATAAATGGTCATTTGATCTATGTCTAGCATAGTAACTATAGTCTTTTAAATATATGAGACTGGATCAATTGGGAAACAATAAATCTTGGGCCCCTATATCACCCATTTACAAAACCAAGTCTGGATGGATAAAAACAATAAAACTTGGCAACTACAGCCAAGGATCAAATTTGACCTACATCTATTTTATAAATAAAATTTTATTGGAGCATAGTCACGCCCATTCCTTTACATTTTGTCTATGATGGCTTTCGCACGCACTACAATGGCAAAGTCTTAGCGTAGTTACAACAGAGAAATATACGGTCCACAAAGCCTAAAATATTTATCTGCCCTTTACAGAAAATATTTGCAGACTACTATTCTATAATGTAACATGAGAAAATATTTGCACGGCTTTGGAGTAGGTAGACCCCAAAAGTACTAATGATGAAGGAAATAACTGATAAACTGGACTACACTAAAATTAAGAACTTCTATTTATCAAAATATACCATCAAAATAATGAAAATGCAAGCCACAGAGAGAAGATATTTTCAATGCATGTATTTGACAAAGGACTATGTCTAGAATGTACAGCAAACTCTTACAAATCAATAATAAAAAAAAGACAACCAGTTAAAAAATGGGCAAAATTTGTAAATAGGCTCTTTACAGAAGAGAATATCCACATGAGCAATTAACAAATGAAATTACAGTAGTCATCAGGGAAAAGCAATTTAAAAATACAATGAATTGCTATACACATTTATCAGAATGACTAAAATTAAAATTTTTTGAAATAATAATGACAGTGTTAGAATGTGAAAAATGGGAACTTTCATATACTGCTGAATATAAATTGGTGCATCCACTGTGGAAAACTGGCAATATCTATTTATCACCCAGCAATTCCATTCTTATATTCTCAACAGAATGCATGTTTCACAAATGACATATGAATGAAGATGTTCATAGCAACTTTACTCATAATATCCCAAAACTAGAAACAACCTAAAAGTCTGTGAATAACACAATAGGTAAACTGTGATACTCATACAATTAAACAGCAATCAAGAGAACAAACTATTGATACACACACACACACATATACATTAGTTTATAGGGCTGCCACAGCCAAATACCACAGACCAGGTGTCTTAAACAACAGAAATTTATCTTCCCACAGTTTTGAAGGCTAGAAGTCCAAGATCAAGGCGCCAGCAGTGTTGGTTCCTTCTGAGGTCTCTCTCTTTGGCTTATAGATGGCTGCCTTCTTGCTGTGGTCACATGGTCATCCCTCTGTGCTCACACATATCCACATCTTCTTGTAAGGACATCAGTCATTTTGGATTATGGCCCATCCATACCACCTACATGACTTCATTTTACATTAAAGGCCTTGTTTCCAAATACAGTCACATGCTGAGTTACTTGGGGTTAGGAATTCAACTTATGAATTTGGAAGTGACACAATTCAGCCCATAATTATACATATAAATAAAAGTGAAAGAAGCTAGACACAAAAGAGTGTATATTATAAATTCTAAAAACTAATATACATGGCACTAGAAGTAAGGACAATTGTGGTTATCTTCCAGGATTAAGTAATTGGAGGGGACATGAAGGAAGTTTCTGGGTGCTGGTAATGTCCTATTTCTTGATCTGGGTAGTAGCTATATAAGAGCATCTATTTGTAAAGATTTGTTGAGTTGTATCTTTATGATTTATATATTTGTCTCTATCTATCTTAAAGGTCAATGAAAAGTTTATTTAAAATAAAAAATCAAACCAGAGCAACAAAAAAGAAAGTATCAACTTTTACATATGTGCTCACAATAAAAACATAAGGAAGCAGACTGACATAAGCAAGTGTGGAAAAAACAAGCACTGACCAGACCAGCGCTTCAAGTATTGTAATGTTGAAAGCAGATAATAAAATAAATGAGTTTATAGATATAACAGAATAAAAACATAATCAAAGGACAAAAATTTATTTTTTTTAAAGACAGGTAGATTGAAAAATACCTAAATAGATCTCTTAGAATAAAAAATATATAATCATTGAGATTAAAATAAAATTGGGGGGGTTAAAAATCAGTTTATACATGACTAAATAGTAAATTGCTAGACTGCAAGACAGATCTGAAGAAACCATTCAGAATACTCTGTTGAGAAAAAAAGAAATATATAAGAGAAGTTAATACATGGAGAATCAAATAAGAAATTCTAACAGATGTTGATCAAAATTCCAGAAGAAAAGCATCTATCTATCATCCATCTCTCTCTCTCTCTTCCCCCCTCCCCCGCTTCATTGATCTACCTATCTATGTATCAATTGATCATGGCTAATTTTCAAGAATTATAAAAGATATGAATCTGCAAACTGAAAATATACAATGAATACAAACAAGAAAAGAACAACAAAATTCATAAAAGAATTAAGTCCACCTAGAATTACTATAGTTAAGCTGGGGAAAATTAAAGTGACTATTAATTTATACAATTTTCTTTCCTAGTTAATAATGATTTGATTATTGATACTAAAATGCAAGAACCAAAAATTCTTTCTTGATCCTTCCTGTGCTGTCTCACAGTATATAACATAAACCTGTTGAATTAATTTTATAGCAATAAGTCTTCAAATGGTTTTAGAGCTGCTTTGAAATTTTACTTATTTAAGAATCTACAAAATATTTGTTTTACCCTAAGATCTCTCTCAAATAACTTTTTAAACTTCATTTTCCAAAATAATCACTGCAGGCTATGGAAATGATTGATAAATGTCCTCTTAAAACTGAAACAGAATTTATTAGTTTGTGCAAATAAAAATTTATCTTCAAAGAAACTTCTTAAATATTTACATTTTAGGTGTCAGCAGTATCTCTTCATAATGATTTTTGCCAGGTCTCTGAATTTAATGACTTGTTGTTATGCATAATGTGTCCATGTGAAATATAATTTGCCAAAATTTCCTATTCTTTCTCCAGCAAAAATAGATCCTCCAGTCATGAATATAACCCAGGTTAATGGCTCTTTGCTGGTGATTCTCCATGCTCCAAACATGCCATATAGAAACCAGAAAGGAAAAAATGTATCAATGGAAAATTCCTATGAGCTGGTATACCGAGTCTTTATAATTAACAATTCCCTAGAAAAGGTAAGTTCAGATAAGAATATTTTTTTATTTTGTTCATTTCATATCTTTTTATTTAGTTCATTTGACTAACATTTTAGCCATATATGAGTAGCCTCTTTCATGCTACTCTATCTCTTTCTTTTTCCTTATCTTTTTTCAGTTCCTTCTCACTTTCACCCTCACTGATAAGCAATTAGTACTTGACATTACCGTTAGTGTGTGTGTGTGTGTGTGTGTGTGTGTGTGTGTGTGTGTGTGTGTATGCATTTGCATCTATTCAGTCACTCAATCTGTCTCCACTTAATCTTCCCTGTGTAAAGATTGGTATTAACAATATTTAATTTCATTTGACTGCCACAAATATTCATTTTTATAGACTTTCCACATCTTATTTTAAAGTGGCTTTTGGATCAGAGCATAATATGTTTGTGCCAGTTTTGCTATGTTATTCTAATTCATTGTCGGGGCCTTTTATCTTGGTTTGGTAGTTAAGTAAATATTTCTTTTTGGATGTCCATCTAAGACAGGGTTCCTTTGGCTATAAGAAACAGAACCCCATTCAAACTGGTTCAAAAAGGAAAGAGGAGGAGAGGGGGGAGTTTTATCAGGAGATAATAAGCAATCTTATGGACAGCCAGAAGCAAGAAATAAAGTGCTGCCAGGCTTTTATAGTGACTGGGAAGGAGAAATGGAGAAGCAAATCTTAAAAAAAATCCCACTCTGCCTCTCTGTGACCACATGTTGCGTGTCTACAGCTGTCTCCAAATTTACTTCATTCTCATCACTGCAGAGTTCAAATTCTTAAACAAGACACTGACCACTGAGTCAATCAGTCGGCAGCCCTCATGTAGTACCTACAAAGCCACGCGACCTGCCTCTTTCTCAGTCTGCTTTCCAGGACTCTGGAGAAAAAGGATGTGAGAAGAAGTCATACTGTGACCGGAAACAACTTATAGGTTTTATCAAAAATAGAACAAATCAGTGACTTATTGAAAACCATTTATCATCTCTTATTTTCCCCTGTTCACAGAAGCGAAAGGTATATGAAGGAGCTCATGGAGTTGTTGAACTTGAAGCTCTAACACCTCACACTAGTTACTGTGTAGTAGCTGAAATATATCAGCCCATGCTAGACAGAAGCAGCCAGAAAAGCGAAGAGAAATGTGTGGAAACTCCTTGAAGTGGCATGGAGCTGTCCGCGATATGGAAATCAAAAGCTCCGAGAATGGAGTGGCTCGTGTTTGAAGCGTCTCATTGAAAACTGTTTTTGTATTTTCTTAAAGCAATGTCACACTTTGCGGACTTCTTTGTCCATTCTTTCTTCTTTTTGTAACTAAATTTGTAAACTAAATTTAAGCAGTATCCACCCTTCGCCAAAAAACACATTAGAATTTAAAGAAGAGGCAGAGAATAAGGTCTCTATGAAATACAGAACTTTATTTCTGAATATAACATCCCTAACAACAATCTCCATTCTTCTAAAAAAAGAGCCAAGGAATAATAAGCATTTAACAAACTGTTGTTGAATGAATTTTTGCAAAAAGCATTATAAACAAGCAATCTTGAAGCAATCTTTTTTCACTCTCTATTGAGACAACTTGACATAAATGTGCCAACTTTTACATGAGTGAAATTTTTACATGAATGAATATTTTCGCATATATTCCTATTTTATGTGAATATACTTTTTCATACACTTATTTTCTATTATAAAATATTCCTACTTAATAAACCAATATTTTCTTTTAAATTCTATGTAAATAAGAATAGTATTTTTAAAAAAACCTCATGATCTCTGAATGAATACCTAGATTAAGATTGTAATAACGAAGAATATCTACTCAATATAATTTCCCTCATTTAACATATACTCACTTTAAGGTTTACTTTTGTTTTTGTTTCATTTTGCTTTTTAATATTGCCTTAGAAGAATTTAATTTTATTCTCAAAATCAGGTATAATATTTTTCAACAACAAAGTAAAAAAGAAACCTTAACTCCAATTGATACCGCAAACACTACTCTATCTTCCTGGAGAAGATTTTCTTGCCAGACGCACGTTCATAATCTTTATGTACAAGGATCTTACGAATGACAGTTTGACTATGACCATGGGGATAGTAGAGGGTCGAGTAGAGAAGTCACTTTGAAGCAGAAAGCACACAGTGGGTGATAGGTTGACTTGGGAGAGAGCCTGGTCCTGGCAGAGATTATGGGGCCAATTAAAGCTCATGAATAACCTCCTAGAAGCATTACTGCCCCCTGAGTAAAGGCGGGTGGCCTAAAGCTCAGTGTAATCAACAGAAAGTTACCTTCTTCATTTTGAGCTTAGTCACATATGTGTTTAAGGTTGTCTTTCTTGTGAAGAGGTATATATTGGAGAACATTTGCACAATTCCTCATGGAAATTGCTCCAAAGTGTGATAAAAATATAATAAAAGCTTCTGGTTACATACAATTATACACAATAATAAATGGATTAAAATTATTCAGAAATGCACACGTAAGAGACACAACGAAAGCTAGAGAATTGATTGCTTTCATTGCTTTCCCATATGGTCAGAGAAAATAAATTAGGGCATAGATCTAGGGACAAAAATTATTGTAATCTATGTTTTTAAATTATGCTTTTTTTTGCTTACTATCTTTTTTGTCTTGTTGTCCTTTTAAAGGCAAGTTGAGAGCAATGGGAAGGATGAGGAATAAAGATTTCTTGTGCTCAATAGCATTTAAGTTTATGAAATTCAATAGTTCTGAAGTCTGATTTAAAAAACAATTATGGTTGCCACATGAAAGTTAGTAGCACCAAATTTTAGTTTTATTTTGTTTGTCCTGCTTTGTTTTTGCTTTCATGCTTAGGCAAATCACTAGGCATGCTTAGGCAAGAATAAAATACTTTGTAAAAAATAAGAATTGTCACATTCTTCATTGTGTTAGGAATAATACTGTCATCTTATTTCAATAAATTTTTTAAATTTTTTTGCTTTGAAATTTGAAATATTTGTTATTTGGGTTATGTAAAAGAAGAATCAAAATTTTAAATCTGTCAGATGAAACCATAATTAGACTTCTTAGACTCACATTAAGTTCTAGCCAGAAAGAAGCAAAGAGTGTTTGTTTAGCAAGACTCCAGGAATTCACTGATTTTATCCTATGATCAAATGGCAATTCCACTGTTACAGTTTCTCAGGCCAAAAGCTTTGAGGCCATCTTTGTCTTCATCTTTTCCTTCACATTATGTATTCATTCCATGAATACATTCTAATGGATCTATTTCCAAAATATGACATTTCTCACAACTACCTTATTCCAGGCAGCCATCATTGCTGTGGACACCTTACTGGTCTCTTGCCTCCCTCCAATCTAGCCTCAGCAGGGTGGACAGGGCGATCCTTTGAGCATAGATCAGATCATGCTACTCTTTTACTCCTAACTCTCCAATGGCTTCCCGTCTCATAAGAGTAAAAACCCATCCTGCATAATCTGATTTCTTTTTCTCATAAGCTCTCAGACCTCTAATTCTGGCCATGCTCACTTGGCTGCAGGACACTGACCCTGTTGCTTGGCCCTTAAATACAAATGCTCTGGCCTCTGGGCTTTTGTATCAGCTACTTCCTGGAAAGCTGTGCCCTCAGGTATCCATAGGCTTTTCCCTTCACTCCTCCAGGTCTCTTCTTTGCTAGGACGTTGTCTTATCAGTGAGGCTTCCCTCACCATTTGATTTAAAATTACAAACTACCCCCTGCAACTCTCTCTAAATGTAAACCACTTGACACACTATAGTTTATTTGTTTATAGCTTGTCTTCCCCTACTCCAATGGAACATAAAGGCAGGTCTGCCTTTTTTTTTTTTTTTTTCACAGCTGTATTTTCATTTTCTAGAAAAGAACCTGTACATAGCAGACACTCACTATTTGTTGGATAAATTAATGAATCAATTGTGGAACCACAGAGGGCATGGGAGGAGTGGATGAGGAGGATTGGATGAGAGGCTTTTCTTACAATTTTGTATAACCTGTTGCTATATCTTCCTCAACAGGTTATTGGTGGGGGGAGGAGAGGTGAGCCATTCTTTATAGAGATGCAGAGGTAGACATGCAGAGACCAGTTCTCAGATACAGCAAAAAGCTATTTTAAAATAATTACTTCTCTCTTCACGGGTCACTTCCTAGGCATTATTTGTTCTCCTTGGATGGTATTCAAGTCCAGAAGTTCTGTCCCAGAAATTCATTAAAAGAGGAGAGGGAGTGAAATTGGGAATGATAAAAAGACATATCCACATTGATGAGAAGGAATTTTAGACAGTGTTCTCAAGACAGGGTAGGGGTGAGTGAGAAACTAGGATGGCCTATCATCACGTGAGATTTCAGGGGTTGGATCAGTCGTCTGATGGAGTAGGCTACAGAAAGGAGCTAACTTCTATTGTGCTTCTAGATGTGCCAAGCATTTACACATTGAAGGATTGTCCATAAGATAGTAATGAGAATGAAGGAAAGAGTCCAATGGACACACAAGGTATCAAGTTTCTTCAATGGCCAAAGTTAAGGCATTTCAGGAAATGGTTAAGCAATGAAGGATAACACACATCTCTCAGATGGGCATTAACTCCCCAGAGCCCTACATTTCCCATAAAGACATAGGATTGTAGCTACTGCCAGGTGCTCAGGACCAGGTTCCCCCAAGTGAGAGGCCTTCTCTGCCATCCTCACAGGGAAATAATACCCTACTGTTCCCCTCTCATCTATTTTTTGAGAAGCCTGGCTAACGTTCTGACTGATCACAAGGAGCAAGAAAATGGTGACCAATAATCTCAGCCAATCTTGAGAACTGGCCATGAGAGTGGATGGAGTGAAGGTCATTTTTCAGGTGCACCTCTCAGCAGGTCTACACTTCAGCCTGTCTGAGGTCTACACTTGCACAGACATTATTTCTTTAACCTTCACACTTGCCCACTAGCTGGTCATTATTATTATGAAAGGTAGTCATCTATTCTACAGGTGAGCCTTTGATAGGTGATTGGCTAAGGTTGGAAATCACATCTGTCTAATGCCACAGCTTAAGCACTTTTTATCAGACCCTCTAGAAATCCCTCTGGGTTTTTGTACATTTAGTTTCCTTTTAGTCCCTTAGTTAAAGTTCTTTTCTTAAATGTCAGTTTTGCCCTGTTGAATTTCAGGACCTTCTTTTTTCTCCTTTAATGTCAGTCAAGGACAAGTGTTGACCTTTAGGACAGGAGAACATAGGGGCAGGAGATCTGATAGAAGAGCTGGACAGCTGGTGGGTACCTACCTGCTTTCAGGGACAAATAGGAGTAGTACTCAACATGTACTTGTCCTGCGTGGTTGGAAGGTATGGATTCACTGAAAGATCTCTTAAGTCCATACATTTATTGGCAAACATTTACTAGTTGGTAACTTCCATCTCCAAGTGGCTTTGAAAGCTATTGTCAATTTCTATGGCATTTTGATTTTCAAGCAAAACTTCAGAAATCCATTTTGCAACTAAAGCTCCAATGTTTTCAAGAAAAACAACAAAAACAGCAGCAACAAAACAACCTGATGACTTGAAATCTGATTTAGAATAAACTCTAGACAAGCCTTTTAAAACTACAACCATTTTGAAATTCTTACACCAAACTATATCGTTCCCTTTACTTATATTCCATTTACCTAGAGACATAAATGAACTTAGAGAATAGAAGTTTTCTCATTGTTTTAGTGAATTTTCTTTTGTTTATTTTATCCTACTGATTGGGACCATGTTCCCTAGAAAGGAAAGTAGGTCTTTGTGTTTAAACAATAACAAACCTTACTACACTGCCAAGTGCTTGATGTTGCCTATATGGGACCACTAAAGCTGATCTCTACAGAATAAGGTGGTCCAAGGAAAGTGACCTTGGCTCCAATGCCCCAAAGATTTTTTTTTTTTTTAAGCTAAAACCTCGATTCCTTTCGGTACTTCTTCAACAATAGCTAGCCTCCCTTTACCCAAAGCTCCTGGGCCTGATTTGGGCAGGGCCTGGTCCATTGGACAGTCCTTCCTCTCTCAGGAGCCCTAGGCCTTCCTCCTTTCTTAACCACAAAATGTTACAGAAAGCAACCAGTTATGCTTGACTGACACGCATAACTGAATGAGAGCTCACGAATGAGACAGTTCTGCCAGATACTTTCATTTGGGGCTT